AAGCGTGGCGGCTGGTTGAGCACACTCTCGGAGTCACTCCTGTGAGGAGAGCACTCAGCCCCCGTTTGATGAGTGGGAGAACCAAGACTCGCAGTGCAGTGAGCGGCCCAGGAGCATGCAGCCGGGCAGTCAGGACCCAGGAGTGAAGGCCGGGTTTTCTGACCACAGGCGGACAAACAGGAGGCAGGGATGGATTAAATCCAGAGCACCAAGGACAGGGGAGCCAAAGATGGGCTTCCGGCCCTGGCATCCGGTGCTGATCGTGCAGGAGTGGCAGCGGATTTGGGGGAAGATGAGACGTTTAGTGGGTGCTGCCTGGGGGATCCCAGGGCTCTCGGGCTGGTGTCTCCCGGGGTTGATGGTGACCTCAGCGGGCTGCTAGGGGCAGGAGGAGATGAACAGCAGCAGTGTGCAAGAGGGATGCTTCAGGCATCACACCGGCTCCCCCCCGCCCATGCCCTTCTGTCCCTGGCACCCTGCTGGGCTACCAGCCCCCACAGCAAACACTGACACCGGACCCACATTAACACGCTCTTCTCACTCTCGTCCACTGCTTCCTGCCCTGGCGAAACCTCAGCTACACCTGGTCTCTCTGTCCTGTCCACCACAACGTACAGGCAAACTTAAACAAAGACACAGAAGTGGATTGCAGGGCAAGTTCACAGAACAAGAGCTACCCTGCATGTTCCTCTCCGTCAGTGGTCTCCACAGTGGCCGTGACTGTACTTAGCCCGTTAGGACAGGAGCAGTCCCCTGCCCCCAAGGCGCCCACCGCGCCCAGTTCTCTCTCCCTCGCTGTGGCCCACGCACACGCATCCTGCTAGACTCCGTGCCGAACTCCTGGGCTGTCCCGCTGGAGAGGCCATCTGGACCTGGCCAGAGATCGGCTCCTGTACCCTTCCTTCTCTCCACTCCAGGCACCTGGCAGGCCGATGACAACGTTGTCAGTCGTCGGAATGCACAGCGCCGGCGCCTATCATCTGGCAGCCTGGAGGACCCCGAGGACAGACCCTGTGTGTGGGGTCCTTTGGCCGTCTGAGAGCCCCAGCCCGTGCAACCTGGGCTCCCTCCTGCCCCCACCTTCCATCCTGGCCTCACTGGACTGCTGGCCTCCTGGGCGTCCTCAGCGAGACCATGAAGACTCTGCATCCAGATGAAAGCTGGACGTGGAGGTCCACCTGCTCCTGCTCCCGGGCCGGTCTCCTCCATAACCATGACCCTTCCCCTCCCAGAAGGAACTAGAAGCCTCCTCTCTCCTTGTGGGTTGGAGCCTCTCAGTGAACTGCTGCTCATGGGACCCTTTGCAGAGACTCTCTGGAATGTATCCATTCCAGATAGATAGATAACCTATCTTAATCTTCAGGTGGAGCCGAGATCCACAGGCTGGTTGTTTCTCATCTTTTTCTCCTTAGGGGGCGTACCAAGAGGACCTGGAGTTTTGGCAGTTTCATTACAAACACCCATCTGGCGTTTTCTTGTCTCTGGAACATCATAAGCAATTTGAGCCCTCCACTTTGGGGTGGGGTTGGGGGATGGCTCCCGTGAGAAGGGAAAGCCATCTTGCACTCTAAGCCAAGTTCCCCTCAAAAAGCATTAGGAGCTCCTTTCTCAAGGATGAGAAAACGGTGGCAACCAAAAAGTTGGTTGAAAAAAAAAACAGTTCTTGCTTCTGGTCACAGAGCTAGTGTCCTGGGCCTCGTGTGTCTGTCTGCTTAGGAAGGAGGCCTTGGATCTGAGACTCCCCCCAGTTACATGATTACCCTTAGGAAGGTTATTCATGGTCAGGTGCGTTCATGAAGGCCCGGGACGCCATCCTAAGGTGACTTTTCAAAAAAACGCATTTTTGGCCCCTTCTGTCTGCCAGGCACTGTGTTGTCAGCTGTGCTATACTCTCACGTTTCATCACCGCACCCCGTCAGGTGGCATTCTTAACACGTGTCATTCCCCACCCCGTGTGAATAGTTGAAGAAATAGGCAGAGGGAGGGGGTTGAGCAGTGATTCTCAAGTTGGAGCCCGGGAGTCCCAAAGGAGGAGGAGCACGCTGCCGAGCTGGGGCTAGCGGTGATGCGGGAGCCTCCCCACCCCACGGGTTTGCCTCCCCTGCCTTCCAGATCTGCTGAGCCTGGCGGGGGGGGATGGGGGGGTAGTCCTTCCCCAGGCTCTTTAGAGATTCAGAGATACTGTTCAAATCATGTGCCCCCCAGCCCTCCTCAGCCCCGTGTAAGGCACGTAGACAAAAGTCTGAAGCAGCGAGGCCAGGCTGTAAGCTGTTGGGAGTTGCTCCTCCTCTCTCAACACTGGTGTCACCAGTGGGTTCCACCTAGTTCTTGGACAGATGTGTTGTCCACTGGCTTTGGGGAAAGGTGGTCTTTTAGTGGAGCATGAGATAGGGAAGCAAGGTCACATACAGCCATTTGTGAGGCTGAGATGCAGTGGAGCCTCAAGCTCTGCCCATCATGATGGCCTGTCTTCATATTTGGAATTGTTACCCTGGAAGAGTTTTTTCAGGGCCGTTTTCCAACACCCCAAAGAGAGCCTGGTGCCCAGGGAATCCTTTGCACCTTCTGTGTAGCTTCTTTGCACTGTCAGGCCTTGTGGTTTTGGCTCAGGTCCTGCCCTGGTTGGGGGAAGGCCTGTTGTCCTGACAGACGTGACATGAACCAAGCCTGAATCGAAGCTTCTGTCCTGAGGCCCCCTGTCCCCCTCTCCGAGGTCCTGCCATGGACTCTGCTGCTTCAGGACCCACTCCTGTCCTTTCCCCCAATATTCTTACAGCCCCTTTTGTGTTTGACATCGGAGCAATAACCCCACTTCCTGATTTCCTTGAAGTTTAAGCCCCAGGGAATGGGGAGCTTCCCTTAGCCTGGGGTGGCGGCACACAGCCTCATATTCACAGTGTGGTGTTCCCCGAGATGAAAGAGAGGCAGGTAAACAGTAGCCACAGTGGCCAGGAACCCTGAGGGGAAACCATTATCACCCTCTTCTGAGGAGGACCAGCCGGTGTCCTTCCTCGAAGCACATGCTGGGTCCTCCCCCCAGCAAGAGGCTCACAGAGATTCCTCAAGGCCTTGGTTCCATAATCAAGACATGCCTGGGTTAGAAATGGCCCTTTCAGCCCTGTTTCTCAGACCGAGCTTTCCATATCTCTCTCTCTCTCTCTCTCTGTCTTCCCCTCCCCCTCTCCCCTCTTTGTTCTTATTTGGCTCTTAGGCAAGCAGAAATACCCCATCCAAAGGAGCTGGTCTTTAGTCAGCCTGATCAGGGAACAGGGCAGCTGCCAACCCTACTGCCCCAGTCCATCATCTGGAGACAGTCATGTTCTGAGCAACTGACCCGGAGAGAATGGGATGGGGCCTGGCTCTTCACTTGAGGGCACAGACTATCTGGAGGGCTGTGGCTTCTCCCGCCAACGCCCGTCAGAGGTCTGAGCTCTCCCGCGGCGTCCAGGTGGTGTGGTGATCCTGGCCTCACGGGGCCTTTTCCCCTTCCTCACCCAGTTCCACCCACCAGAGTTTATGCCCACATAAACTCTGGGGCATCTCCTGGGCACAGACCCACACACTTTGAGCCGTCTCACCTTGGGAGAGTTAGTGTCCTGCCCGCCTGATCTCGGCATGCTGGTCGATCACTTCGCTTTAGGACCTGCACACCTGGTGTGTGCAAGTGTGTGTGTGTGCACTGTTTGTGCCATCCGTGTACCCTCTCTCACTCATGGGTACATTCATGGGCACATTACGGTGGGGACGTCAAGGATGCAATATTTATGGAGTGCTGCATGATTCTTAAAAACGAATAAAACTGTTTACAAGGGAAGGAGAGCTGTTAATTGTGCCCTTGGCTTATTTGTGAAAGTCTCTTGGTCCGGTGCTCAAATATTTTTACTCAAGAGAATCTAGAAGTGGAGGAGTGGGAGAGGGCATGGGGTAGGGAAAGACACGCTCCGGGGCAGGAGATGGACACTGACGTGCCACCCTGTGGGCACAGGCTTCCCACCCCTGCCCTCCTGCTTCTGGGCAGAGGCCTGAGTAAGGAGCCCTCACCCCACCCTCACCCTTAAACTGGAGAACTTCCACCACTTCAGCTCCTCAATAACTGAAGAGCAGGAAAGCCGGTGGGAGGAGGGAGGCCAGGGGAAGAGACGAGGAAACCCCTGGTGTCCCCCCACCCCTAGTCCCTGCCACTTAAAAGTTAGTGACACTAACGTGGCCAATGACCCTGCGAGGAGGATTCGGCGAGTCGTGGCTTCTCTTGAGTTTCGCTCACCGGCTCCGTTTCCTCGGCTCTCTGAAAAGGAGGGAGAGCCCCTCCGCAGAAGCCTCTGGAGAGTCAGCTTCCGGGAACCTTGCAGAGTACAGGGGTGGGGAGGGAGCCGCTTACCGGGAAACCCTACCCACCGCGGGGCGTCTGGGATCGGTGCAGCCCGGACCTGAGCGGCAGGTGGCATCGGAGCGTCGGACCTGCGGGCGGGCACCGAGACGACGCTCAGGGTGGGGAGGGTGGGAGAGGGCACAGAAACGTGAGCCCAGAAGAGAGGAAAGGAAGCCCCAAGCACACGGTGCCCGAGCCCGCTCCCAGCCCGGGCCCCCGCGGAGCCGCCAACGCCCCGGAGCAGCCGGGACCGGAAGGGAGCGAGGGCAGGAGAGCGGCGGCCGGGGCGAACGGCTCCCTGGCGTGCCCGGGGCCTCGGGCGGGGACCGCGCGCTTCTCCGAGCCCTGCGCGGGGCCCTCGGGCGGGAATGCGCGGAGCCGGGACGCGGTGGCGGGTAGGGGGCTGGGTGGCGCGGGAGAGGGCGGCAGAAGGAGGGAGTTCCAGGAGAGTTAACGCCAGAGAGAGTGGCTAGGGCCCGCGGTCTCCTTGGAAACGTGCTGACCAATAGCAGCAGCGGAAGCTGTTTATAGGGGCGGAGCGTCGCCATGGCAGCAGAAGAAGCCTTTGCAGCGGCTACTTAATGCCGGTCCGGGGGCCACCGGCGCTCAGAGAGGCGCCGTCGGGCAGGGGGGCGACAAGAAGCGCTAGCGGGGCCCTCGAGCTGGGGACAGAGAGCCGCGGGGGGTGGGAGGAACTTCTTCCAGAACCTTCTTTTGGCCCGGGCTGCTCTCTGAGCCAGGTAAGGGACTGAGACGGCTGCGGCCGCGGGAAGGGAGGGTGTCGGTGGCAGCCCGCTCTCCCATACGTCCTCGACGGAAGTGGTGGACCCGGGAATGACATCTGAGTTTGGGGGACACTTACTTCTCGCCCCCCCGTAACTCCTATCCAGTTTCCTTCCTTCCCCGTTATCCCCCATCCTAATATCTCTTTTCAAAGATCAGACGACCCCCCGTCTCCCGCCCGGTGATACTGCCCTCCTGGGTTCCCTCGCCCCGTTTCCACTTGTTGCGGGGGGGTGTGATTTCCCGCTCTTGGGGAGAAGGTGATAGCCTCAGAGGCCCCCACCCTCCTTCCACCCTTGGCTAATAAAGTCTCTTCTAAAACCTCGGAGAGGAAAAGAGAGACGGACCCAGTGGGGGTCGGACCCCCGGGCACAGCTTCTGTTTCCCAGACCTTGGCCAGAAAAGATCCTCGCCAGCAGCGGGGACGATTTTAGAGGAGCCTCCCCCTCGCACACACTCTCCCCTCGGGGGCAGCGGGGGAAGTGCTCAGCTCCCGCTGTGGTCCTCCCCAGCAGGTACCACATTCATATTCGGAGGAGGCGACCCAGTGGTCGCGGGATGGAAGCGCGCGTTCGGGAGGCCCTGTAACCGGAGCCGCGGGAGTCAGCGGGCTAGAGAGCGCGGCGGGCTCTCCCCCCCCACCCCGGCTCAGCCCGTGGATGTTGACCGCCCCCTCGGAGAGTCCCCGCAGACATGGCGGAGAGCTGGCTACGCCTCTCGGGTGCAGGGGCGGTGGAGGAGGCCGGGCCGGAGGGCGGCCTGGAGGAGCCCGACGCCTTGGATGACAGCTTGACCAGCCTGCAGTGGCTGCAGGAATTCTCCATTCTCAACGCCAAGGCCCCCGCCCTGCCGCCGGGGGGCACCGACCCCCACGGCTACCACCAGGTGCCGGGCTCGGCCGCGCCGGGGTCCCCCCTGGCGGCCGATCCCGCCTGCCTGGGGCAGCCGCACACTCCGGGTAAGCCCACGTCGTCGTGCACGTCGCGGAGCGCGCCCCCGGGGTTGCAGGCCCCGCCCCCCGACGACGTGGACTACGCCACCAACCCGAATGTGAAGCCGCCTTACTCTTACGCCACGCTCATCTGCATGGCCATGCAGGCCAGCAAGGCCACCAAGATCACCCTGTCCGCCATCTACAAGTGGATCACGGACAACTTCTGCTATTTCCGCCACGCTGATCCCACCTGGCAGGTAGGGGAGGCGCGGGTGGCGGCCGCTCCCTCCCCGCTCTCCTCCTCCCTCCCCACGCCAGGGCAGACTGGACTAAGGTCCCCAGGCCCGCAAGCCAAGTAGGCTCGGTGCAGCCAGGGCCCCAGGGGAGGAAGGCCATCGAGGAAGAACCTCTAGGGAGCCTAGTGCTTGGAACTGCCCCTCCTTCAGAGAGGGAGGAGGGAGGATGTTTAAAGAGCTTTAGAAAGGGTGCAGACCCCGAAATTCCTGGGGAAAGCGCCTGTCACTCATCCAGTAGACCCAGCCCAGAGACCAGGGCCAGACTGTGTGTGGACATGGTCCCCTAAGAGAGGATGATGGACTAAGGGACACATTTTTGTCCCAAGTCCTAGAATTCCTAGACACCGCCCTGCCGAAGGACACTTGTCAAGGCCAGACTCAGAATCGGATGCTGGAGCATCGCGCCTGCCAGGCTCTGCATCCTGTGTTGTTTCAGTTGGCTGGGGGAGGGCAATGGGGTGTGAAGGCCAGCTGTGTCCCAGTAGGGCTATGGGGTCTTCCTAAAGTAAAGCTGCTGCCCCGGCCCCTCACCCCAACTCCTCCCCCGTTTCCTGCCTGCTGTCCTCCCCCCTCTTCTCAGTCAGCCTCCCTGGGGGGACAATTACCTGAGCCAGGTGCTTTCCACAGGGGCTCTCCCTGCCGCACTGGCTTCATGTTCCGAGTCTCCGGAACCTGGCACAGAGCAGCCAAGGGGCCCAAGCCTCCGTGTAAACATCCCAGCCTTGCCAGGGGGCACGATCCACCCACCCACCCTGCCTTCTGGGCCCTAAACCCCTGTCCCCCAGCATGGTTTGGACAAGACAATGCACCTAGAAATGAACAAGGCAGGATGGTGATTTGAGGCCAGGCAGACACGAGTCTGCCATCATCAGGATCAGGGGCTACTTAGGGACAGAGGCCCCAGAACGTCCAGACTTTTCCCTGGGGATACCCACAGGGAGCAGGCTGGAGAAGCACAGTCCCAAACTCTTCCACATTTGCGTGGGCCCTGACTCTGGGGCAAGTGCCAGTTGCACCCTCAGTGAGAAAGCAGAGAGACCCCCAGCCCCCACCCTCCCCGAAACCTGTGAAGCTCAGGCTGCAGGAAATGGGCCTCAGGAATGAGCACTGTGCTCTAGGCTGGGTAATAATCAACTGAGGCCTCCATAGCCTGGGTGGGAGGAGGGGGCCATGGGGGTGAGGGCCCAGGCCAGCAGCCGGCTCAACAAACAAGCAAAGTCCTCAGATCCCCCCCCCCCACTTCATCCCTACGCGCTCAGAGCACACACCCTCACACCCTGGCTAGCCCAGCTCCCCGCACCCCTGCCTCCACCCACCCACTCCACAAACAGAGAGGGCCAGCCAGGCCCAGGCGGAGGGAGATGGCTGTCCAGGCCCTGGGGGAGCTGAGGCCTTTGGCCCGAGGCCGCAAGCCGTGGGGTAAGGGAGGGAGGGCAGGCCGGGGTGGCACTGCGAGCCACCCTGCGGCTCAGGGCTCGGATGACTGAGCAGGCACATATCCCGGCAACAGGGAACAAAAGCTCCCGACAGCACTCCTGGCTCCCGGTGCCCAGTGGCTGGTGTCCCAGAGCCACTGGTCAGAGCAGTGCGGCCGTCCCTCCTCCCATGTGGGCAGGAGCGCTCGTTGCCCCCCATTGCTGGCCCTTCCCACTCACCCAGCCCACCTCTTTCTCTCCTCTCCCCCGTGCCCAGAATTCCATCCGCCACAACCTGTCCCTGAACAAGTGCTTCATCAAAGTGCCTCGGGAGAAGGACGAGCCGGGCAAGGGGGGCTTCTGGCGCATCGACCCCCAGTACGCCGAGCGGCTGCTGAGCGGGGCCTTCAAGAAGCGGCGGCTGCCCCCGGTGCACATCCACCCGGCCTTTGCCCGCCAGGCCTCGCAGGAGCCCAGCGCCGCCCCGTGGGCCGGGCCGCTGACCGTGAACACCGAGGCCCAGCAGCTGCTGCGGGAGTTCGAGGAGGCGACCGGGGAGGCGGGCTGGGCTGCGGGCGAGGGCAGGCTCGGCCATAAGCGCAAACAGCCGCTGCCCAAACGCGTGGCCAAGGTCCCGCGGGCCCCCAGCACCCTGCTGCTGACCCAGGAGGAGCAGGGCGAGCTGGAGCCCCTCAAAGGCAACTTTGACTGGGAGGCCATCTTCGAGGCCGGCACTCTGGGCGGCGAGCTGGGCGCGCTGGAGGCCCTGGAGCTGAGCCCGCCGCTGAGCCCTGCCTCGCATGGGGACGTGGACCTCACTGTCCACGGCCGCCACATCGACTGCCCCGCTACCTGGGGGCCTCCTGGGGAGCAGGCTGCCGACAGCCTGGACTTCGACGAGACCTTCCTGGCCACGTCCTTCCTGCAGCACCCCTGGGACGAGAGCGGCAGTGGCTGCCTGCCCCCGGAGCCCCTCTTCGAGGCCGGGGACGCCACCCTGGCCGCCGACCTGCAGGACTGGGCCAGTGTGGGCGCCTTCTTGTAAGAGGCCGGTCCCCGCCCCACCTCCGGACAGTGGCCAAGTCAGGGCCCAGACTGCCCCCCAGCACAGGCCCCTGGACACCCTACCGCCCAGGCAGGGGCTGGGCCAGGTCTCCTGAGGCTGGCCCCATGAGGCCGCACAGCCCCCAGCCCGGGCTGCCCTCAGATTCCGGCCCAGGAGGCTGAGAACAGGGGAGGGGGGTGCCCAGGTCCAGAACTGCTGCCTCCCCAGCACCGCCCCCCCCCCATACACACAGTGTTTCATTGATCCTCCTCTCGCCAGCCCCGGGACGGGGACGGGCTCAGGGCCCTGCACTGTGGGGGCTGCACCTGGAGGGGCCCTGGCCAAGCTGGGGAGCGACAGTACAGGGCCCGCCCCAGGGCACCTCAGCTTCGACGCCTCTCCCTCTCCCTCTCCCGCTGTCCTCCCCAGGTCTCTATCCAGAGAAAGGTCCCAGGTACAACAAATGCTAATTAGGTGACAGCAAATTAACCCCCTGGAGGCCTCTCCGGGCAAAGCCTCCCTGGGGCTGGGGGAGGGCGGGGGAGGGGTGGGGCTGGTAGGGGGAGGGGGCAGAGGGGCAGAGACAGAATGAGGTCGGGGAGCCTGGTGGGCAAGGAGGTTTTGTAAGGCCTCTGGGGGTCTTCTCCTGGCCCCATCCCTAGAGGTGGGAAGGGAGTGTAAATCCCTAATCTTTCAGCCGGACCTGAGGCAGAGCGCAGCGGGAGTTGGGGTGCTGGGGGGTTGGGGGCAGGGGCATCTGAGCTGCAGTGGGGAGGACAGACAGACTAACGTAGTGAGTATAGCGATAGGCTTAACAGGGAGAGGTGCAGAGCTTGCTAGAACCTCTGGGACCAGGAAGGCTGGGATGGCCGGCATCCCTGCCTGTACTTGCTGGGGGGGGGGGGGGGGGGGGCGTGTCTCACTCTACCCGGAGCCCTTCCGTCTGAGTCCCACATCCACCCTCCTGCCCTGTGGGGCAATTTAACCTTTTTCATGGAAAGTTATTTACAATAAAAAAATTTTTAAAAATAAAATGTTTAAAAATCTGAAAATGGACCAGCTTGCAACTTGAGGGCCAGTTTGGGAGGAGGGGGTCTTTCTCTTCACCGCCGGAGGGGGAAGGGCTGGGAGGAAGATGGGGGGCACCGAAGGCCTCAAGAGTGTCCCCTGATGAACTCCCATGACTTCGGTGTCCCCAGGGAGAAAGGGGCTGAAAGGCAGCCCCCAGCGGTCCCCTCCAGCCTGGGGCCTCAACACCTCCATCTGCACAATGGGGAGAATGGCACCCTCAGCCCCGGAAGTGGGCGACGAAGAAGACACAGCCCCCTCCCTGGTCCTGGGGACTCACGAGGGCCGAGCACGCCCAGGGCTCAGCTCACGTGTCCCTGACCGCCAGGGCCTGCCCGGGCTCGCCTGCCTGAGTCTTCGGTCCCGGCCCGGGCCTGTCTCCAGCACCACCCTCCCTCGGTCCTCTCCTGGAGGGACAGGGTGTGAGGCCAGAGGGCCCCAACCTGGCGCGTGCTCACCAAGCCTGGCGCCTTCCCTCCGGGGCCCAGTGCAGGCTGGAGGAGGAGGAGGAGAAAACCACCAGGGAAGTCAAGGTGCCCCGACCGTGCTTCCCCACTCGCTCACACCAGCTGGCGCACTCCGTGAGGGACCTGCCTACCAGAGTCCTGAGGGGGAAACTGAGGCACAGGAAATGTGTGTGGGGGTGACACGCAGCAGCACCTTTCCCTCCCATCACGCCAGCTTTGTCTGGAGCCCACCTCTCCACCCAGCCCCCTCCCACACACAGGGCACAAACGGGCCCTGTCTCGCACAATCCTGCCCAGCCTCCCCGGACCTTTTCTCCCGAAGCCCCTTTCTTTCCCTTCTCTCAAGTCTGGCGCTCGGCCAACCTGGCATTCCCAGTGCTAACTTGCTGCTTTCATTTGCTAATTATTCCAAATATTTCAGGAGAAGCGCGCACACTGCAGGGCCCGCCAGCGAGGTTGGGGCCTTACTGAGCCCAAAGCCAGGCCACCCCCCCCCAACAGCAGGCTGAGGAGGTCTGCCCTCCACTGAGACTCTCTTCGCCCCCCGCAAGCGACTCCTCCCTCCCTCTCCCCACCACCCACCAGCTTCCTCTCCACAGTCCCCTTCTGTGGGAAGAGGCCTTCTCCAGGGGCCCCCCAGGGTCAGCCCTGGCCAAAGGGGGTACACCCTGGATTGACAGGTGGGGTGGGGCCCGGGCATGAGCATTTTTAAGGGTCCCCAGATACTTCCGACGTGTAGCGAAAGCGGGAGGCGGCTCTGAAGGGGCTGGGCCCCTGGGCTTCACACACACACACACACACACACACACACTCTTCAACCCGCAGCATCAGGGAGTGGGGAGAAAGCATGCACCTGCAGCTTACCCCTCCGATCCATCCCTGCCCTGGCCCTTGGCTGGGTGGTTTTTTTGTTTTGTTTTGTTTTGTTTGTTTGTTTGTTTGTTCTGTTTTTTTTTTAAAGATTTTATTTATTTATTCATGAGAGACAGAGGGAGAGAGAGAGAGGGAGAAGCAGAGGGAGAAGCAGGCTCCCAAGGAGCAGGGAGCCCGATGCGGGACTCGATCCCAGGACCTTGGGATCAAGACCTGAGCCGAAGGCAGACGCTTAACCATCTGAGCCACCCAGGCGCCCTGGCTGGGTGGTTTTTTTTTAACAAAGGTGTTCATTTACCTATTTTTTTAATTTATAAATTAGGTGTAATCCCAATCTAAATAGATTTCACATCATTTTCCAGTAAGTTGCAGACCTGATGCCCGTTAGCACTAAATACTTGAGCGCCTACTTCCTTAGAACAAGGACACTCCCCCGTAAGCCTAGCACCACCGCGGAGCCGGGACACTGACGCAGACGGGTGATGCCTCTAACCGCAGGTCCCTGTTCAGGTTTTGCAGACAGCCCCGCCCCCAGCCTCCCACGTTGTACTCAGTGGTCCGTTCTCTTTGTGGCTTTGCACCCGTGACCCAAGCTCTCCAAGCAGGCTCCTCATGTCTCTGATCCCCACCTTTGAGGTGAGAAGCCCCTGAAACCACTTCATGCTTGAGTGTGGGGACAGGGCCTTCCCAAAGCAAAGAGCCAGCCTTCTGTCTCCAAACATGCCACCTTTTCCGCCCTCCTCCCCCAAGGTGTCCCACAGCAGGGAATGTGATGGGGGATGGGTAGGAGCTCAGACCTTGGGAGCCCTCCACTCCCTGCCTCCGCACATCCTGTTCCACAGGACAGGCCACACACACACACACACACACACACTCACTCACTCACTCCAGTGACTCTCGGTGTCTGGAGAATCCCGGGATTCCCCAAGCCCAACTCTCCCTGCTGCTGACCTGGAGCAAACAGGCCAGGCCCCCTGCAGAGCTGAGCGTGGGGCTGGCTCTCCACCCCACCCCCACCCCAGCACCCACACTTGCAGAAAGGGGTGAGCTCTGGAGGGCTGGCAGGAAGGAAGGTGAGGGTTGGGGGAGAGGTGGGCAGGAGTCAGGCGCACTTCCATCCGGGACTGAGGCTCAAAGGTAAACAGGTGTATTTGGACTCCTGGCAGGGGGCAGTGGGCTGGCCGCAGGGGCAGGCCTGGGCCTGTCAGGGGTGGGGATGTGGCGGGGAGGCCTGCATTAACAATGCGGTGGCCGACTGGCCCCAGGTCCTGCTGACACAGTCTTGTGTGATGAGGAGGAACACACAGGTAACAAGGGAGCGGAGGATCCTGGGGGAGGGGAGGGGACTTTGTGAGGCCACCCATGCTGCGGGTGCCCAGGTGCCCAAACATTTGTATGGCAGCCCTGGGGGAGGGGGAGTCACCTTCCTCCCGAGGCACAGGTGTCTGTCTCAGTCTGTGGCTTCCAGGTCAGGTCGGACACCATAGGGTCAGAGCCACCATAGAGGTGCTGGGGCCTGAACTTGCCCTGTGTGTCAGGAGCAGGCAGGGACCAGCTGGAGGGCACTGCCCCCCAGAAGCCAACCAGCCTGAGTGGCAGGGCGGGGCGAGGCAGGTGCACGTTAACCAGGGGGAGCAACAGGGCCAGAGGTCTCTCTGCTGCCCCCACCCCCTCACCCGACTCCTAGCCCAGCCCATCACCCTGCCTGAGGCTGTTGTGAGTCCAGACCCTCTTTCCCTTTGAAGGAAGCTGAGCTCCCCCCAAAGCAAGAGCTCCAGGAAGTAGGGAGGGCAGGCTTCATGCCTACACCTGCGCCCCGCCCAGGCCCCCTGGGGGCCTCTGAAGGACTGCCCAGGCCCTCCCCGCCGCCGCTGTTTGCCCAGGGAATGGAGGTGAGGCCCAGAGGCTGCCCAGTCTTCTCTGCTCCTGGCCCAGCCACCACCGCTCTGTTAGCCGCCCTGTTCCCACCCGGGCCCCCCTGCCCCCATTCATGCCTCACTCTGGGCACTGAGCCCGTGTCTTCACCCCAGAGGGCATCCCGGTTCCCTTGAACTTGCTTACGGTGAGCTCTTGCCCTGCGATGCGGGGGTAGGAGGGTGGGACGGAGTGGCACCCGGGCCCGCCTCAGTGTTCAGCCTCTGAACCCTCGAGTCTAGGCCCCTGGGGGCAGATGACCTGCGTGCCTTGCTCATCCCTACATTCACAGGATCAAAGACAGTGGCCCGCTTCTTAAGTATTGAATGAATGAATGCATGAATGCATGAATGCATGAACAAGCCGGCTAGGTGGGTGGATAGGAAGTAGAAAAACATCCAAGTAGCCTTGGCAAGATGCCGCTGCGGACAATGAACACGAAGGGGATCTCTGGCAGCGGCGGCGGCGGCGGCGGCGGCAGCAGCGGCGGCTGGGGTTGAGAAGGTTCTGGAAGCCCCCAGGGTAGGGGGGGGCCGTGAAAGCACTCCAGCCAAGGGGATCTTTGAGAAAAGCCCCAGGCCACCCTGTTCAGGAAACAAGTTAAGAGGCCCCTTTGCGGACCCTGTGGGTTGGACTGGGGTAATAAAAGGGGCAACGGGGTCCTGAATGCCAGTGAGGCCGAGTGGGACGTGTAGCAGCTGTGAGCCAGGGGAGGGGGGAGAGGGCGCGCTTGTAGGAGGAAGGAGCGGAGGGAAGTAGAAGAGGCCCAGCCTTCCTCCTTCTCATCCGCCTCAACCCCTCCCCCACCAGGGGGCCTGAGAGACGGGGCCTGGTGTGGACAAACTGGTGTGGCACTCAGGGCTCTCCCACATATTTCCTTACCCCACCCAAACCCACAGTGTGGGCAAACGGGCCAGCTACGAGGTCAGCAGGACGGAGCAGGGCCCAGCTCCGCTGTCCCAGCCGTCCCTGTGCACCAGGAGGGCCCCCCCCCCCGGGGCCGCTGAGCCTGACGCCCCTGGAGCCGGGCTCCTCGGGGTCTAACGGGGGCCAGGAGCTCTGTGAGGAGGCTGCGAGTCCCCAGAGCCTGGTGTTTGGCTAAAGATTAACCCTGGCCTGCTGGGAACTGCCTGGGAGGCTGGTCCAGGAGCAGACACTGTCCCACAAGGCCAGGCAAGGCCGGTTTTGGAGAGAGGGGCTGGGGGTATCGGAGGTGCAAGAGGGCGGACCTCGCAGAGGGCCAGGGCTCAACCCCCATCCACGTTGGTTCCCTGGGTCTCTCCAGGCTCCCTACTTCCTGTGTGGGTTTATTGGGAGGGGAGGACACTGAGGGTCTCCCAGCCCCAGAAGGGATCCCCACGGGAGGGTGGGGGGATCACCAACTAGG